TTTGTGAAAGTTCATGGAGGTTAAATGTGCTTAATGATACATATATATATTTTTTTAAGACAGGGACTCATGTAACTTCAAGCTTGCTATGAAGCTGATGATGAACCTGAATTTCTTTTCCTTCTGCCTCCGCCAGGCATCATGCTAGGTCTCAAGTGGTATTGGGGATTGAACCCAGAGCTTTGCATATATCAGGTAAGCACTCCATCAACTGAGTTACATCCCTATCCCCTGATCATGTGTTATATAACAATACCTTAAACTTTAAAAAAAAAAGTTTTATTATTTTTTTCTTGGAATTTTCTTAGTAGCTACTAAACCTCCTAAAGTATTTTTGAAGTTGTTTGGTTTTGAGACAGGTTCTCCCTGTAGTCTCAGCTGGCCTGGAACTCACTATGTAGACCAGGCTGGTCTCGATCTCACAGAGATCTGTCTGCCTCTGCTTCCCAAGTGTTGGGATCAAAGGTGTGTGCCACCATGCCCAGCAGTACTTGGTACCTGTGTGATCTAAACAGATGTCAAATGAAGATTTCAGAACAACAATGTGCAAGCCATGATGATTGTTAAGACTGTGAGGGAGATGTAAAGAATTAAACATTTTAATTTTAGAGATTAAAAATGCAAGTTTCAAAAATCACTTTTTATCATATGCTGCTTTAAAAATAATAGCATCTTTTCCCAGTATTACTAGTGTTTGTATCTTTTGTTGTTGTTGTTGTCTTTTTGAAGCAGGGTCTCCCTGTAGCCCCAGGTGCCCTGGAACTCACTATGGAGACCAGGCTGGCCTTGACTCATAGAGATCCACCTGCCTCTGCCTCCCAAGTGCTGGGACTACAGGCATGCCCGGCCTAGTGTTTATATCTTATGTGTATGAGATAGGGTCTGTGTAGCCCAGGATTATAGAGGAATGGTGCACATCCAACTTGGCCCTGGCTTTTAAAATAATTTATCAGCAATTTATGGTTATTTGTTCTGGCTTGGGAATTAAATGCCCTCCACAGGCATATGAGCTGCTGGTGGTGTTTCAGGACGTTGGAGAACCTTTAAGAGGTGGGGCCTGGCTGGAGGACAAGGTTTCCATTTCACTCTTGTCCTGCTTTCTGGTCCTTTGAGATGAAGAGTCCAAGCCACATGCTGGCCCCCAGAACTGCCATGCCATGTCTCCCTCACCATGAGGGCTTGTGTCTCTCCAAACTGTGAGTCACAAATAAATCTGTCCTAAATTGCTTCTTGCCAGATACTTGGTTACAAGGAGAAACATAATCATTATACCACCTAACCATACTGCACATTTCCTGTTACAGAGACCTTAATGTTGTCATTGGATGTTATATATTGCAATGACCATTTCCCAAGAGCTTGTAGCAGACACTTCTGAGAGTCCATTTCCCCTTTTCCTAGCTGATAGAAGCCAGTTCTGTGGGGCTGTGTACGTCAGAGGTCAAAGGACCTACTTCCTGTTTTCTCTTGGGTACATTCTGGCTAGGATGCTGGAGGAATTCTGTGGAATCATGCTTTGCTAGTAAAAGGGATTGAAGGGGCAATATGTCTTTGCCTCCTGTTGCCTTAAACACTGAGGGCGAGGTATCTGCATTCTCCACTTTACAGATAAAATTGCAGTGCAGGGATGATGAGTGACTGACACATGGGTCATGTAGCCATGTCAGAACCAGCATTCGGAAAGTCCAGAGACAAGTTTCAATTCACTGATAATGAAAGCAGAAACAGAGCCCATCATCCTCGGGACACCACTGGGCAGCTGAACCCAGTACATCGACTGTCCACCTCTAGACTTACAAGAGACGAACTCCATTTGGCTAGATTATATAAAATGCTTTTTCTGTGGGCATGGTGGTGCATGTCCTTAATCCCAGCACTTGGGAGGCAGAAGCAGGTGGATCTCCGTGAGATGGAGGTCAGCCTAGTCTACAAATCAAGTTCCAGGCCAGCTGGGGCTACAAGGAGACCCTATCTGAAAGCAAAAACAAAAACAGTTTCTGTTGCCTGCAGTGACACATGACCACAAATGAATATCTTGGCACAAAAACCTGAAGGAAAAAAATGTAGCTCTGCTGTATTTTAGATGTTTTCTTTGACTATCAGAAGTGGGCTTGAGCTGAGGTTACGACCATTTTTTAGGCTCTTTGTATATACTATAAATCATTTTATTATTTGCTAGAATTATGCTATCGTACTTTTTGCCTGCATCGTGTATTGCTGGCAAGACCCAGAAGAGGTCCTGCTGGTGGCTTTACACAGGAAACCAGGGACGGGACGAGGAAGGTGAGGCAACCACTCAGGACTCTTTCACATCAAGCCTTGCCTTGCTTTAAGGTGCACTTCCAGGGTTGGGGTGCAGCTGGGTGGTAGATGACTTGCTCCCATGCATGAGGATCCTGGGTTTGACACCCCCAACCCCATAAAGGAAAATAGGAAGAAATTTCACAAGAATGGTTCTCAATGCACTTTTATTCCTTACTTCAAAACTGTTTCTTACACAATGACATAAATAACAACACTGTAAAGATTCAGAAAGCAGAAAGAAAAAACCCCAACACTAAAGAGAACTTGGATATTTGGCCCCTTTTTCTCTAGGTCTTTTATAATCTCCCATTTTCTTATGCGTATATTGGATCCTGTAATAGTGTTACATTTTATTAATTTAGAATATGTACTTCCCATTTTAAACACTTTATTGGTTATATAACAGTTCATTGTGTGGATAATTCCTACTTTACATTTGTACACTGAGATCAGACTGACAAAAGCATGGGAAGCAGATTCTGCAGGAAACACCAGTACCACATGAAGTCCCAAACAAGCAGATGCTGGAGCTACTGCGATTAAACTACACAATTAGCAGTGTTCTTGGCTTTCATTTGCATCTTTACACAGGGAAACCAAGGACTACCCAGAAGGGAAAGTTATTTCTAGAGCCTTGACTGCAGGGAAAAAGTTCCAGGTGCTGCCCTACTTTCTTATTACAGTTGAGACCTTTCTTTCCTCTTCCTCTCCTTCCTTCCCTCTCTTCCTTTACCTCCTGGAAACCCCCACCGACTGACAGGGTCTTGTTATGTAGCCCAGACTGGCCTCAAAATTCACAGCAATCCCCTTCATCAGTCTGCCAAGTGCTGGGAGTACAGGTGACTGTCACCATATCTGGTTAAGACCTCAATCTCAGAAAATACAGTCCAAAACCATGCAAGGAATTAGTGAGAGGAAGCCACTCAGGAGAACTCCATTATCTACATACAGTTTAAAAGTAGCTTAGAAACACAAGAGTCAGACTGATTCAACATTTTAATTAAAATAGAATTTCAGTAATACTCTAGATACATTATAAATTTTCAATAAATTATAATTTGAAAAAATAAATTATATTAAGCATAAGCTTTAAAAAGTATACCAAAAAAATTTAAAAGTATATCAACTTTTAAAGCAGTCTTTCTTTTCAATGACTCATTTTCTAGTGCTGCCCTGCCCAACATGTGCATCAGGGTGCTAGGCTTCTTCCTGACAGAAATGACATGCACTTCTGGCATACAATGTGAAGTTTTCGTATTGGAGTCTACTGTGAAATGACTCCATATAGGCAGCCGGCACAGCCATCTCATCACACACTTCATTTATCCGGCACTAACATTGTGTGTGAAGCTACACACATCTAACAGAGTGCTTTCTACACAGGGGGCATTCAGTATACGTTTCAAACTAGCCGTCCAAAAGCTGAACTTGAGGATTAAAAGTTATAGCAACTGTAACTGTAATAATTCCAAGCAAAATAATAACACAATAGATGATTATTGCTGAGCAATTTACTTGTAAGCGAGGTAGGTGGCACAATATTTACAGATAGAAAACTTGTCAGGGATAAAAATGTGCTTAAACATTTGCTGTACTCTCTAACTGTATCAGGTACCTGACTAGCATTTGGGACATAGCAGAGAACAAGTAAGTTACTATCTTATGTACAGCTTATTTGCCAGGGAAATTTGCTAATGTCACACAGGTATATACTGGCATTCTGGGTTTTTATGTCTGGCATTTCTCCATATTATGAGCTTGGACAGTATGTGTTCATCCCTGAAATAGATCCAGCCTATGTTAAATGCTGAAAAATTCAAGTTCAGACATAAGACAATATGACTACAGCTGACTGAATTCAACTTGTGGAGAATTTGATCTTTAATATTTTATATATGGGACTGGAGAAATGGCTTGGCAGTTAAGAACACTGTTCTTACAGAGGACCCAGGTTCAATTCCCAGCACCCACTTGGCAGCTAACAACCATCAGTAACTCCAGTTCCAGGGGAGCCAATGTTCTCTTCTGAGTTCCATGGGCAGTGCACAACATGGGTACTTACATTACGTGCAGCCAATATACTCATACACATAAAATAAAAATAAAAAAATTTAAAAATATTTATTAAATATTGCGAATGGAACCCTGGCACTCTGCAATAGTAGTCAGTGCTTGTAACTGATGAGCCATCTCTCCAGTCCTGAGAATCTGATCTTTAAATTGGTGTTAAACAGAAAAATTCTCAAGAGAGATATAAAACAATAAAAAGAATCAGAGAGACATAAGATTATAGGATTAAAGAAACAAAACACCTAAGAATGGAGCTTTTAGTGTGTTTCCCTGTGAACTCAGGGCCTTGAGCTTGCATGGCAAGTACTATATGAACACTGAGCAAATCCTCAATCCCCAATGATGAGGCTTTGAAAACCACCTATTTTTCTGACTTACGTAAAAGCGCTAGCTCACCCGGAAAAGTGAGGCCGTGGCAGAACTGAAGTCAGAGGACAGAAGAGACTCTGGCTTCTTGGTATCTTTACTGAGCAGAAAATCCAGAGGAAGAAAGAAATTTCCAGGAAACATCATAAAACACAGAGCACAGACAGCTATGGCTTCCAGCCTTCCGGCTGCTGTGAATGTCACTCACTTTGTGGATCCTGATCCGTCAAGTTTAAGAACACAAAAAGAGAAAGGGGCTGTTTCAGGTCTGAAATTCACAAGTTTATTGGCACTTCTTATAAAGTTGCTGACCCTGACAGCTTGACCTGGGATACGGTGGGTCAAAGTCAGAGGGTGTCATTCAAACAGAACCAAAGTTGAACTCAAACTCAACAGAGGAAGTTACAAAGGATGGAGAAAATGAATTCTAGATGCTGCTTTCCAATTGAGTGGGCAGAAAATTACCCTTTGAACACAGAACTTTATTATAAGACTATCTACGAAATCTGGGGCAAATGGCACCACACTATTTCTAAATCCAACAACTTGTCTCCTGAAATGGACTCAAGCAGCCTTATAAAACAGCACACCCCTGACCCCATATGAGCATCTATATGACATTAAAACTTCTGGATTTTTGGCAATGGGTTGAAACAATGGGTAGAAAAAGTGTGAATGAAAGGGAACTGAGAAAACCAATTTGAAGAGCAGGCAGCTCAGGGCTGGACATGTAAGTTCACTGGTAGAGAGTCTGCCTACAAGCACAAGGCCTCCAATTTCATCTTCAGTACAGCAAAACCAAACCAAACCAAGTAACCCCTAAATCAAAAACAGAGGGCAGGCAGGTCAAATGACAAAACTAAAGATGATTTTGTTTGCTTTTTTTGAGACAGGATTTCACTATGCATCCCAGGCTAGCCTAGAACTCAATATGCAGCCCGGGCTGGTCTCAACTCATGAGCCTCCTGTCTTAAGCCTTGTGAGCACTGGGAATCTGGATGTGTGCCACCACATCCTGCTCTGACATTTCAAAATTACATTTAAGGCAATTTTAAACATGGGGTCTTAACCAACAGCCTTTACAGAGAATTAAAAAAATAAAGAGCTAAAATATCTACCCAGTATCTGTACAGCAGGAACCTGTTTTCAGCAGGTAAGCCTATTTACAAGTAAGAACCTCTTACTCTTGTAACACTGTCCCATTTTAAGAGCATGCATAACTCCCATCCTTGTAGAGTTGGCCAGGAGGCCCCAGTGACCCCATAGAAATATGGACCTACCGCTACAAGGGAACTATTTACACCCCACAGTAAGCAAAATATATACATATGCCCCCTACTGGCTGTGAATGCCCAAGCCAAGGGGTTATGGCTTATCCAGTGACATATCCACAGTGACAATTAGTAGGCACTCAATATTTTTGTCTGAGTTAAATGAAAATGATTTTTCACAGTACCACATCTCATATGTTACTAACAGTCCCATCTCCAAACTGAAAATAACGAACTGCTACAGATTTTACTGTGTTTTCCAAAATACAAGCTTCTTCACTTTTTTAATGTAATAGATTTACTAATTTCCAACACAATGATACAAATTAACATTGAGCAGGGAATGGATGACTTGCTTGTAGGTTACTTCATTCTTTTCCTCTTTTTCAAAAGTGCATCTTTTAGTGCTAGCTGCAAGAGAAGAAATAAAAAACCAAAAAACTTAAACACAGTAACTCTCGAGTAATCTGTTACACTATCTAGATTATAAAGTTTACCAAACATAAACATAAGGTAGTTATCCTCTGACATACAGCCATAGACACACACACACACATACACTGCCACACACACACAGACAAACACAAATAATGATAATTGATAGACTGTATAAATTGCAGAAGAGCCACAAGCCTCATTAGGGAAAGCCATAAATTCCTTAAAGTATCTAACTGGCCTTTAATTGGCAGCCTGGACTTGCCCAAGCCTTATCAAGTGGTCACTCCCGGGACTGAGAAAAATTGTGGAGCCCACCTGTCTCCTTTAGTACCATAGATAACTTACCTGCCTGTCTGAGGAAAGAGACCCTCAAGGACACCAAACCTGGCACTAACTCAACTCCCCAAAGTGCAGCTGTGTCTCACAACCCCGGTATAAAAACCCTGTTTTCTTTGTCTAGTTGTAGATGCTTGGTTCCTGTGGACAGCCTCTACCTCTTGCTGTATCTTTTTTGAATAAAGGAAGATACATTCCTTGCCTGTTGCAGGTCTGGCTCTGGTTTCCTGTCTCCTTCTCCTCTATCTTTCATTTCTCCAAAAATCTAACAATGTAATAATAATGGATAAAATTTAGGGGACAAAGATTCTAAAGCATCTGGGCAGATTTAAGATAATACCTATCAAAGTACAATCTGAAACACAGAAATCTATTTCCTTATGGACTATTTTCAAATGAGATTGTCTACTGCAGAAAATGAACCAAGAAATTCTACTCTAAGCCACATGTTCTTTATGATTGCTTGCGTGAAGACATTAACTTAGGAACCAAAACCCTCAAGAAAAATATTTCTTCCTAGTTAATATAGGTTCCTATTTTGTTGTTTTTTTTTCAGACAGGGTCTCCCTGTAGCTCCAGCTGGCCTGGAACTCATGATATAGACCAGGCTGGCCTCAATCTCACAGAGATCTGCCTGCCTCTGCCTCCTGAGTGCTGGGATTAAAAGTATGAGCCACCATGCTGAGCCACATTTAAAAAAGAAAATTTACCTCACTTTATTATTATTACTATTGTGTGCATGTGTGTGAGAGGGAGAGATGGGGGTAACATACGTGACCTCCATGACACTCCTATGGCGGTCAGATGACAACTTTGTGGAATTGGTTCTATCTTTTCACCTTTACATGGATTCTAGGGCTCAAACTCAGTTAAGCTTACATACCAAACATTTTACCTGCTGAGCCATCTCACCAGCCCAGGCTCTTAATTTACTAGTTTAATCATTTTGTGTTGGAAATATGTCCAGTAAAATGAAATAATAATGTGTGTATTTTGAGCAGACGTGCTCCAGGTTCCCTGCAGTCTTCTGGTCACAAGAATTGGGAGGGATCCTATGATTATACACTGGGTAGATTTGAAGATACAGAATGTAAGATCTGGAAAAAAGACCAAAGACCAATGTCTGCAGGGATGCTACTCAGCACTTCTCTGATAACCATGGCTTAGTATTTGGAGTTGTGAGCAGGACACCATCTAAACTATAACCTCTGAAAGCAGGCCTTTTCCCACAATCACCTTGTCCAAGATCATATGCATCCCACTAAATGTGGCCTATATGTCCATTCAAGGTCTTAAAATCCTCCTCTGATAATCAGAATACTAAAGGTTATTAAAAAGAAGCCTTATCTTTTAAGGTTCATCAAGGACAAAGCACACATCTTGAAAAACTTTTTTGATTTATTTATTCTTTTTTGTTTTGTCTTTTTTTTGAGACAGGGTTTCCCTATAGCTCCACCTGGCCTGGAACTTGCTATGTAGATCAGGCTGGCCTCGAACTCAGAGAGACCCACCTGCCTCTACCTCCAAGTGCTGGGATTAAAGTCATGTGCCATCATACCCGGCCTTGATTTATTTATTGTTACTTTATGTGTATGAGTGTTTTGCCTGTATATAAGTGCACTACATGTGTGCAATGCCCACAGAGGTCAGAAGGGGGTGGGGTGTCAGATCCCCTAGAACTGGAGTTACAGTTATCACCATGTGGATGTGGAAACTAAACCTGGGTCCTCTACAAGAGCAGTCAGTGCTCTTAACTGAAAAATATTTCAGTAATTTTTATATTATGTGTTTGAATGGTATTACTTTGAAATTAAATAAGACATACTACTAAAACTAATAATCTTTTTTAATTAAAGTATCTATGGTATTATATTTATATTAAAAATGCTGGTCTAAAATGAGGTGAGAATAGAGAAAATTGGGAACCTAGAGCTGTTTTATAATGCACAAACCTTGAAGAAAATACAGTGCAAGGAACGCATGTAGAAATTTTCATTTCACGTTCCCAGCAGCAAGAAAATGTGAAAACAAAGAAATAGCATTCTGAAATCCAAAGGTGTGCATATCCAATGAACTCTTACTCTTTAAATTTTCTTTAGTCTTTGAGAGAAATGTTTCCTCAGGTGCTGATAAGGAGCACAGCCAGTCTTCTCCTCATGCTAAAAAAGGCACTCTACAAAACAGGAAGCCGGGGTGGGGGCGTCTTTAGCTAAAACAAACCTCCCAGGAACCAAGGCTCCAACAGGGTATTACTATTTCCTCAACCCCAAGATGTTATTAAGAGCCAATAAAGGACAGTCAGTTAGACTATGTGGCAAAATTGAGAGACTTATTAAAAATGCTGCCACCTTATGACCTACATGTATTAAACGCAGATCAGAAGTAAAGCACTGAAAAACAGAAAGCCAGAGTTTCGGTGGTGGCACCTCAGTTGCAGTGATCCTGATATGGCACCCACAGGCACAGCATTGCCTGGAGGGCTGGCCATTACATTCAGCCTTGGCAGGCCCATCCTTGGCTAGCCATCAGGAACACTGGTTCAGAAGGTGAGACTCTGTAGCCTGGAGCTGATTTTCTACAACTTCTTCAGAAAGACACTTAGACATGCTCTGGTGCACTCCCAGAAGAGGAAGATACCACTTTTACTATAATGAATTACTGCCAGCCACAGGAGGAGCATGGGATTACCATTCAAAGGTCACAGAGCCAGGTGTGGTAGTACATGCCTGTAATCCCAGCACTTAGGTGGGCACGGCAGGTGAATCTCAAGTGTGATGCTAGATTGGGTTACATAGTGAGTTCAAGGCCAGGGATTACAGAGTAAAACCCTGTCTCAAAAAAAGCAAGCAAGCAAAGTCACAAATGGATAAAATGAAATCACAAAGGTTCATAAAGGGCTTTTTGTAAAAGGACACACAAATCACACCAACAACAAAACTGCACATTTACTGTACACTGCTTTCCTGAAACTGAGCTACTTCTCCAGGGAAGTCGTTGCTTTTGAAAAGTACCATGCCCTGACTGCTCTCTGTCTCCTTCATCCCCAAACCACACTCAGCACATGGTCCTCAGAAGGCAAAACTCATCTCAAATGTGAAGTGGTCTCAGAACCACAGAATATTCTTGCCATGCAGGCTTCAAGTGGAACTCACCTGCTTTTCCCGGAAGGAACGCTTGGTTTTTGACCGGACATTGTGACTATATCGCATCATCATAAAGTTCTTCTGCTTTTTCTTTTCTTTATTTGTGGAACTAGAAAATGGATTTATTTTTGTTTTCTTCCTCACAAATTCTTTTCGGTCTGTCCTTCCAGCCTATCAACACAAAAACATTGGTAAAAAAATTTTGGTATTTCCTCTTAAATAAAAGACTCAGAAATTATGAAATCAACACAAGCAAGTGTATCCTCTGTGTAAGATGCTCTGTTGGATGCCACGGACACAACAAGGACAGAACACAGGCCTTGTTCCCCAGGACTCAGTTCAAAAGAGAAAAGACATGATGTATTATAATGGACTAAGGGGAGCTCAGGAGAAGGAAAGTCCTAATCTTATTAGCCTGATTCCCAGAAAGCCAAGCTGATTTTGGCATGGTGGAAAATGGGAAGGGTGAAGAGTGAAGTCCATGTAGAGGTGTGGAGGAAAAAGAACATGAGTTTGCAAACTCTCCTAGACGGGGTTTCATTCAAACGGAATGCAAAGTGAGAAGGAACTAGTGTGGTATGGTGCCTAGTACCAGTTAAGGCACAGAAAAAGAAGCTAAAAGCCAGTCAGCACACAAACATGAGCAGCAATGGCCGACTCTGATGGACTGTAAACTGGTTTTTCTATTGCTTTAATAAAGGTAGCCTTCTGATGCTATGAACACGTAATACTGCATTACCATGCTCTACATTTTGCTACACAGTTGGCTACATACAGTTGTCAAAACTGATCTAACTAGGGCTGGGGATGTAGCTCAGTTGGTAGAGTGCTTACCTAGTATGCATAATGCCCTGGGTCCTATCCCCAGCACTGCATAAATCAGGCATAGGAGCACATATCTATAATCCCCACACTCAGGAAGTGGAGGGAGGAGGATCAGGAATCTAAGGTCATCCTTAACTAAATACTGAGTTTAAGATCAGAATGGGCTATCTGAGATCCTATTTCAAATCAAACAAAACAAAACAAACTCATCTAACTTAATACCCAATAATGATAATAATTTTATTCTACACTAATTATACCCTTAAAGCATTAAAAAAAAAAAAAAGACAGTCTATAGCTACACACTGGCAGTTAGGTTTCATCGTACTTGTTTTCTAAGGAGGAGGCACGTTCTGTCTCACCATTGCAGTTGCTAGCCTTGTCTCCTTGTCAGACTTGGGCTTCTTATGAAGGCGTTCAATGTCCCGAAGAGACAGTAATTCACCCCTGTGGTGAGGGAAAAATAAAGTACAAAGTAAGGGTGGAGCCCCTTTCCCTGATGCCTTCGTGATCTACAAGCTGACAGCAGGCTGTGTGTGTGCCATTTTACCTGGACTCCTCATCACTGTCGATTTCGATGTATTTCCTCTTCTGGGCTTTTCCAGGAGCAGCATCCAGCTCTTTCCTCATCTGTGCCATGCGGATTTTCTGAAAGTCATCTTGACTTAAAACCCGACTCGTGCTGATGGCTGCAGCTTTGGCTTTCCGTTCCTCTATGGGCATGCTGTCCAGCTTCTTTGCCTTGAAAGCATGCAGGCAAAAGGTTAAATGCTACCAGCTTAAGAGAGAACTCAATCATTTGTTTTTTTAAAAAATATTTTACTTATTATTTTTAAAATATTTATTATTTTCATTTTATGTTTATGAGTGTTATGCCTGCATGTAAGTAAGTGCTCCCATGTCATGTAAGCCTGTGGAGGACAGAAGAGGCCATTGGATCCTCTGAAACTGGAGTTATGGACAGCTGCTAGCTGCCATGTGGGCACTGGGATTCGAACCCGTGTCTTCTGTAAGAACAGTGTCAGTGTTCTAAACCGCTGAGCCATTTCTCCAGCCTCTTATTTTTTTTATTTTATGTGTATGCGTGTACTGCCTGCATGTAGGTAAGTACACCTGTTTCGTGCAATGCCTACAGAGAACAGAAAAGGCTGTCGGATCCCCTGGGACTGGAGTTACAGACAGTTGTTAGCTGCCATGTGGGTGCTGGGATTTGAACCCTGGTCTTCTGCAAGAACAGCCAGTGTTCTTTACCACTGAGCCATCTCTCCAGCCCCAAGCTCAATCATTTCATTTAGTCTTTCAACATGGCCAAGCAAAAATGGCACCTTGATAAACAGCAAAGTGATGCACTTGTTTTGGGGTATTTTTTTTGTCTTCTGTCATTTTTTTTGAGACAGGGTTTCTCTGTAGTCCCAGGTAGCTTGGAACTCACTATGTAGACCAGGCTGGCCTGGAACTCATAGAGCTCCACCTGTCTCTGCCTCTGGAGTGCTGAGATTAAAACATGCGCCACCACACCTGGCAAAGTGATGCACTTGTAAGTGATCCGGACTTACAATTTCTTGCTGTTCTTCATCAGAAGAATGGTGTACATCAACCCAGTCACCATCATCATCTTCCTCCTCACTGAGACTGGCACTTTCCCATCCATCTGTGTGAAAGACATATCAACGACAGCTACCTCTTTATGTTGAGTACTTACAAGTTGAAATAAATCAAGCAATGTTGAAAAGGTACTAAACCTCAGATACTGACCAAGAAATGAGATACACTTATTATTAAACAAGCCACATCAATTTAATTAATTTAAGGAGTGGGGACTAGCACTCGCAAAGTATCTATTAAAAGCTCAAATCTAATAGTCATATCCCTTCTCACAGCTCAAAAGAGGAATAGATTCTCAATCAACTCACATGCTAGAAAACACAGCCTATCCTATAAAGAAATCACAAAAAGCCTGCCTGATTCTAGGGTCCCCCCCTTTTTTCTAGTGATTCAAGTGTGCTCATCAAAACTGCACTTGGACACTTACTTAACTTGGGTTTATCGTAGATTCTGACTAACTCACCCAAGTGCACTCTTACATGCACAAGGAACTCTTTCAGTTACCCAGAGAACTGAGGGAGATTTTCAGGTGCAACTGAGGGAGAACCTTGTAGACACCTCAATAGAGTGGCTCCCCAGGATCTCTGAGACAGTGTCACAGCTCTTTGGCCTGGCAGTTACACAACCATCATCAGTTCCCCCATCTTGCCAGGGGGCTTTGCTCCAAATAACGGTGAGATTACAGTGAGCCATCAGGGCTAGGGCTGTCACTGGTGTAGAGCACTTCCCTAGCGTGAGTGAGAATATAGGTCCAATCCCAAGCAAAAGACAAAAGGAAAGGTGAGGGGAGGAGAAGGAAGAAGCAGGAAAGGGAGAGGATAGAAAGGGAAAGCCAAGAAAGAGGGACCTTCATCATTTTCTGTGGTCTCTTCTCTCTCAACTTCCAGCACCTCTGCTCCTGGGATGTAGTCTTTAGCATCTAATTCTCCATATTCTTGTATTCTTGCTTCCATAGAGGCTTCAGTTGGTTTACCCTAGAAGAGAAGAAACCATTTATAATGAGCTACTTAGATTATCACACATTCCTCATGAAAGGCATCCTCTAGGGCTAGCAGAATACTATAAAAAAAGGAGGCAACCAAATAACAGAAACAGCTTGCTTATGAGTCAAGTCAGAGATTAAATCCCCAGTCAGAAACACTGTTCGGTGCTTTCTCACTCTCTTCTGATACAAATCCACATTGGCTCTTAGTAAAGAAAGACTTTTTAAGTCTCCAAAGTACTATCTGTTACAAACGTGCACCTTCTCCCCTGAATGAGGCAGTGCCTGGATGGGGTACTAGCAGCAGCTACTATTACTGTGGATTCCAATCTGCTGACAGCACCAATATTTATAAGGTCAAACAGCCTGACAGATCTTTACGACAGTCATCATCAAAGAGTTCATGTCAACTACAAAGGGCTGAGAGTCCAGGTAGTCAATCAACTGCATTCTAAGCTTGAAGAACAAAACCACGTGCATCATCCATACTCATCATCACTAATGCTTTAGTCTAACTGCAGGCATTACCTCATTGCTGAGGTCATAACCTTTAGAACAACCTAAGTACGCTTCACCTACCCGGAATTTCTTCTGCAACATCTGAGGATTCAGCGTCCGGAAGAGCTGAATCAAAGTTCTGGCAGACATCATTACATCTATAAAATAACACAATTAACACAATAATAATAGCAATTCTGGAGCAAAGACTACAATGAGGTAAAAATGGATCACACTGTACTCAGTGGCAACTTACTCTTATCTTTGTGTGTCTTATACTGAGCTAGGTCTTGAAGAAGTTCTTCAGTCATGGCTAGAGGACATCGGGCTGTTATCTCTTTTATAGCATTGATCCTAGAAAAGGAACAATGAATTAAAAATAACCAATTTTATATGTGTAAGTTCGACTTAAGAAAGTTTCCTAAGAAATACTAAATCAAAGGGAATACAAGTTAGGTTTTACAGGCTTAGGTCTCTAAACATGCAATGTGGTAGAGAATTTAAGAACAAACAGCCTTAGAGGTTGAAATTCCAGACAAGTCACACATTTACCACTTTCATAAGGACTAGTGTTAGCCTACTCTAAAGAGAGAAGGCACTAGATCAGATAAGAAAGACTGAAACTCTTTATGGCTGTTATCCCAGCAACAATATGCAAGAGAGATTAAAACTTTGCTTAGCCTATAATTTACATATAAGGACAGATTAGATAGTCCTTTGATTAATCAAAAGGGCCATTGAACTGCCCTAAAATGAGTGATTCAAGAATAAATTGTGGTGGGAGGGAAAAAAAAAAAACAGGTTGTCATTCGCCTCAAAGTAAAACTGGAAAAAAAGAGGGGGGGTGCTGATTAGAAAGACTAAAGCAGCAGGATTAAAGCAGCACTTTATTTGGTTCTGTCCTCAAGAGTTCTGACCAATAAAATGAAAACAGGAAGTCACTTGATAAGATGAACTGTACTTTAAACCACCTATCCAGAGGCCATAGTGACAGGTTAACCATCCCTCTATCCATCTTAGTAGTTAAAAACACAGCCTCTCCCAGGCACATTCTACGTACCCTACTGTCATGACTTCTCCAGAGTTCTTGTCAGTAACAAAATTGTTGGCCACTGTCATGAGCAATGACTGAATGATCTGAGTTGGAAACAAAAGAGGTAAATCAGGTGAAATGTCCGTGCCTCCTTGGACAGGATTCACAGTGCCAAACAAAAGCCCTCTACCTTCACTCTGGGGGTTGGAAATCAAAACTAAGAAAGTGAGATATAAAAATATACAGCTCAATTTCAGTTTTCTGAGTTGGGGCTCAGGCTAAATTTTATAGGTCTTTAACATCACTTTTTCTCTTTTAATATTTTATGTGTACAAGTGTGCATGCCTGCCTGTATGTAAGTGCACCCATGTCATGCAATGCCAGTGGAGGTCAAAAGGTGGTATTGGATCCCCTGGAACTGGAGTTACACAGGACAGTTGTTAGCTGCCCTGAGGTGTTCTTAACTGCTGAGCCGTCTCTCCAGCCCCCAACATCGTTTTCTCTTTAAAATTATAGCATTTTATTATCATTGCTGTGTGTGTGAGAGAGTGCCCGTGTGGAGGTCAAAGGACAACTTTCAGGAGCCCATTCTTTCCTCCTTCCTTGTCGAGTCTGTCTTGTTTCTGCTGAGCTGCTCTCCAGGCTACGTGGTCTGCAAGCTTTAGAGTGATCCTGTTTCCAACTCCTATCTTGCAGTAGGAATGTTGGGATCACAGATACCTGCTACACATCCGGCTTTATTTTTATATGGGTTCTGGGGATTGAACTCAGGGTAGCATGCTAAGAGCTTTTACCCACTGAGCCATATTCTAGCCTTAGTGTAATTTTCTGGTGGCACATGCCTTTAATCCCAGCACTCGGAGGCAGAGGCAGGCGGATACTTGTGAGTTCGCAGATCCTTGTGAATTCAAGGCCAGCCTGGTCTACATAGTGAGTTTGGGTCAGCTGGGACTATCGGGAGACCCTGTCTCAAAAAGACCAAAAAAAAAAAAAAAAAAAAAGGTAATTTTTAGGTTAACAAACAAATTAACAGGTTTCATTATGGCAGCTTCCTGTCATACTCTGTGCTCATCTGTCATCCAGGGCCTGCCCTCAGCCTACCCTCCTCCGCTTGCTTGGTTCCCCTCTCCTAGTCTCCACTTCTGCTTTCTTATCACATGCTCTCCCTGACACTGTTTCAAACAAAGACAGAAACAAAACAAAACCCTACTCTGACAAAGGATAGTTCAGTGTTCTTTTAGTAAGTATGGGTGGTGGCGCATGCCTTTAATCCAAGCATTTGGGAGGCAGAGGCAGGCAGATCTCTGAGTTCAAGGCCAGCCTGGTCTACAAACCAAGTTTCAGGTCAGCTGGGCTATAGGGAGACCCTGTCTCAAAAAGATGAAAAAAAAAAAAAAAGATAAAACAATTACCAGCATTGAAAAATAATGACTATAAACTTACTATTATTATTTTGTCTTGAGACAGGGTCTCCTTGTAGCCCCAGCTGGCCTGGAACTCACTATGTAGACCAGGCTGGCCTTGAACTCAGAGACCTGCCTGTCTCTGCCTCCCAAATGCTGGGATTAAAGGCGTGCGCCACCACCTACACCAGCATGCCATGCCCGGCTAACCTCCTAATATTTTTTACCTTTCCTAGTCATAAAACTTGGCTATTAAACAAAATTCAAATCTTTAGCTTGTTCACTTTCTGTGAACTTACAACTAAACTTCCAAGGAACTCAGTAAAGGATTAGGGTCTCCTCCACTCAGTTAAAACAGGGTAGGGGAGACAGCAACTTTGGGGGACACACCACTCCACACACACTAGATCCAGATGTCAGGGCAAGAGTTCTCACCTCTGGGGGCACCAGGTGATGAGAGGCTTGTGCGGCAAACAGAAGGATCTTCGTGACTTCTGAGAACAAAGCAATGAGAAAAGGTCCACTTCACTGCTGTCTCTTAGGACCGCAGCATCATGGTAAGCAAGTGGCAGCTCTAGCACTACTGTCACCTGCTCTATCTGAAACCACCCTATCTGCACCACTCACCCCCTGCTTCCTTCAGGTCTTTGCTCAATTGCTGCCTTATCAAAAAGCCTTTCCTGACCACACACTCCTTCTTGTCCTTACCCTGCTTTTTTTCTCTTCCAAATGCTTTACTTGGATATATGCCCTGGCACTGTCTATGCTTTTCTTCAGAAGATAAACTCTATGAGAGTAAGGACTCTGCCTTATGGTCACCATGGAGTTCCTTAGTGTCCAATGTAGTGCTGGCATAGAAATCACCAAGTAAGGCTGCATGGGGCCTGGAATCCTAGCAGAAGCAGACAGAAGGATTCTGAATTTGGGATCAACCAGGGCTACATATTGAGAGCCTGCCTCAAGCCACAAACCAAAAACGAAATCACTAAATATATGTTGAACAAACACAAATATACCTAATATGCACATACTTTCTTCTAAGACACAGCACAATGCATGTAAAGAAGAAAGCTTTTGAGCCAGGTGTGGTAGCTCATGCCTGTAATCCAAGTACTAAGGACGCAAAGGCAGGTTTGCTAAAATAAAATCTGAGGTCGGCCTGGGCTACTGAATGAGATCCTGCCTACAAAGAAAACAAACAAATGCACGCCTTTGGCAAAAGAGAAGTGAGTCAAATTCTGATTTGTCATTTAATTGGAGGAATCCTGGTCAAAGAATTCATTTAACAATCTGATGCAATGGTGTGCAGAAGGCACTCAGTATAGGGCTAGATTCATTTTAAATCCTCAAATGTTAATTTCCTTCCAATTTTGGTTAAAATTCAAAGGCATAACAAATCTCTTTTCCCCTGCTTTTGTGTTGTTTTGAATTGAGAATACACATAAAGGAAGAGCAAAGAGAGCATTAAGATAAAAATCCTGTTACCACAATGTTACAGTAAAAAGTCAAAATGTCTACAATTTTTAATATGAACATTTATACTGCAAAAAGACTTGCTTTGAGAAACCAATTTGTTGTTGTTTTAAAAATTTAATGTATATGAGTGTTTTGCCTGCATGTATATAAAGGAACCTGTGCCATGCAATGTCTGCAGAGGTCAGAGGAGGGCAACAGATCCCTGGAACTGGAGTCACAGGGTGGTTGTTAGTCTTCATGAGTGCTGAGAACTGGGTCCTCTCTAAGGGCAGCCTGTGCTCTTAACCACTGAGCCATCTCTTCGCACCTGTTGTTGCTTTTAAAACAACCATTTCTTACAGTTAAGGAACAGAACAATTAACTAGACTCTAGCCAGAAAATGTGAAGTCTTCTCCTTGCTCCTCCTCTTTCTTTTTAGTTGCATTTTAACTTTTGCTTGTCTGAGATGGGTTCACATGTAGCCCAGGCTGGCCTCTAACTTGATATATAGTTGGGGCTAGCCTTGAATTCCTGCTTCTTCTGCCTCAGCCGACCATCTTCCCTTCTGTACCAAACACATAAATGCCATCTGTTTTTAACCATTTCAGAACAGTAGACTAGATAGTTACTCTCACATTAAGACCACCAAGAGACAGACACATGGGCAGATTACCTACCTCTCTGGTGGGGCTGCAGAAACCTTTGTACAAAGGGATAGAAGTTGAAGAGAAAAAGCTGTAGAGAGAAGAATATACCAACTTCAGTATTTATGAAACTTCAGCATGAAACTTCATTCTCCATAATGTAATTTTATCAAGATACACTCATTGGGAATCACTATTTGCTTTCGTCTTCTCTCAATAGCAATCATGCCACAGGATGATCCAATATGCAGTAGTAATCAGGTAGAGAACTTCCTCTACTGATTCTCTGCTGCTACCTTACTATGTAAGGCAGGAAGAACATGTGTACAGAATAAACTAGGGAAAGGCAAACAAAATATAATACTCTTCTTTTAAAATTGGCATGGGGGAGAATAAAACAAGGATCAAAACTGATATTAAAGCTCCATAGCCAGGGACAGAATACAAGTGCAAATCTGAGTAGCACCAGTATAATGTGATTACTACAAACTGACAGTGCTGAGTCTATTGTCATCCAACCACACTGGAGGAAGTACTGCAACCTGTAGTTAAAGCAACAAGTGCAACAATCTCAGAACAGTACCAGTCATGCCATTAACTGCCAGGGAACAGTATCAAGGACTGTTTTATTTACAGCCTATATTTTTGAGCATCTCTTATTTCTAAAGGTAGCTAGCCTAAAAGTTCATGTGATGTGTCCACACATAGACACCATATATAAGATATATACCACCAAGTAACTCTTGCAATCTAATTCAAGACAAAAGAAATAACTAGGGAATTCAGCTTTGCAAACATTACAAACTCCAACAGAGATTTGGAAATCAGGAAAGCCACTACATTATGGGTTAGGCAAAATGAAGCTAGCAAATCAATATGTATGTAGGCCATACTAGCTTAGGAAAATATGTTTGTGAAAGCAATTGGCAAGAAGTAAAAAAAAAATAGAACACAAAATGAATATGCAAACTAACAGTAATAAAAAGCTATTTTCAGCTAATTATAAGCATGTAAATGGCTTGGGGGTTAAAACTGAGATACTGCTCTACCTAACAGCTTTCTTTTACTGAGCATATTTCTACATTCACCAAGAAAAGCAATGTCTTTCAAACCTCATGAATTCCCACCAATCTGGAGATGAGGTTCATCAGCATCATTTTCACTTCAAACCTCTCCTTAGAGCTCTCTAGCTGCTTTAGAAGTTTTTCTGCAAAATCTGGGAAGGAGAAGATCAAAGAAGTAACTGTGGGTCCATGGTCACAGAACACTGCATAACAGGCATAGAGAAAGGGTGTAGTTAGATCAATGAAGAGATCAAATATGGGCGACTATTCCTTCAGTAGTGCTTGAAGCTCATCCTAAGGAGTCTCGACTTTTAGCATCAGCCTTTTAGAATGACTGTCAGATTTGGGCTCCTCGTAATCATTTTACAGAGCCTACTTCTAAGGGTGTGGTCTGCAGACCAGCAGCAGCAGTATACCTGGACCTTCTTGGAAGCACAGAATCCCAGGCCCCACCCACACCCTAATAAATCAGGATCTGTACTTTAACCATCTTCCTGGGTGATCTGAATTACTGTTTGAGAAATATTGATCTAAAGCAGGAATAAGCAAATAGGCAGTGATAAGGCTAACAGGGAATTGTGAATCATCATTGCAATACCTTGGGGATCATGAATCAAGTGAATAGCGGAAAAGTTGAACACCTCTGGTTTCTTCTTCTTCTTTTGTTTCTGAAAGAGAACAAAACTTTTGCTCTGAATTACAGTGGTGGTGGTGGCTCTGGAATTCAATGTGCTAATGCTCTGAAGGCTACTATCAAGCCCATAATCTTAGTATTGTGTGTGTGTGTGTGTGTGTGTGTGTGTGTGTGTGTGCGCGTGCATGTGCATCCACGTGGATGTACAGAAATCGGAAGAGGATGTCTGGAATATTGCTCTATCACTCTCTGCGTTATCCCCTTGAGACAGGGTCTCTACTGAACCTGGTGCTTCCTGTTTTGTTTTCAGCGTTAACTGGTTGGCTAGCAAGCTCTGGGGATCCACCTGTTCCTGTTCCCCTCAGCATTGGGGTTAGACATGTGTGGTCACATTCGACTTTTTACGATGGGTACCAGAACTCCAGTTCACATGCACTCTTATCATCTCCCCAACACCATTCCCATTAGACTATTTTAAAAGAAAAAAAAAAAAATCTTTGATCTAAAAACCTTTCTTTCAGTGTGAAAAACTAAAGATATTTTTTGACTTTTAAAGATTAAACCTTTTAAATACTTCCGCTATTAGAGATCAACATCATTCTGTGAGACTTAAATTTGAAAATGCAAGTATTAAATCCCATAGGGGTTGGGGAGATGACTCAGTAAAATGCTTGCCATGGAAGCATGAGGACCCGAATTCAGATCCCCAGCAGCCACATAAAAAGTTGCATGTGGCAGCATACATCTGTAACCCAACACTGGGGAGGCAGAGACAGGTGGATCCCTGGAGCTCACTGGCCAGCCAGTCTAGTCAAATAGATGAACTTCAGGTTCAGTGACAAAGTCTCAAATAGTAAGACACCCAATGTTGACCTGTGGTCTCCACATGCACCTGCACACATTCCATGTGCACCCACAAACACAAGTGCACACATCCACATGAACAAGTACCTACAACACACACACACACAAGTAAATTTAAAAATAATAGAACCACATAGGATCCAAATAAAAGATTTTTAGAATTACCATTTACGAAATAGCCAATATTTTTCATTTCTGTTCTAAGAATGCATGTCTAGTAAAGACACCTGAATACCAGCCAGCATGAGCAGAACAAGTGAAAAGGAAACTTAATCATTTCCTCTAATTAATTTAATCAAGACAGTTTTTAATCAGAGCTGAATATAACTATTCATCTAAAATGTTAGTGCTTACAAATTTTTTTAAACATCTCTTGATTTAAAACTCTTAAGAGCTCTGGTCAAAAACTACATACACTTTCCATATTCTAGGGACCCTACTTCATCCTCCAGGTCTAAGTCTCACCTTGAGCACTTTCATGGCCTTTTCCAACTTCTTCTTGTTTCTGGAGCCCTTCCTCCCCGTGGCGTACTGCACTAGGAGGTCTCTTGCTGTGGGCCCTTCATCCTGAAGAACAAACTACAGTGTAAAACTGGAAACAGGAAAATCTGCACAAAGGCAGCATGTAATCCTTAACTATATTTGATTCTTTAAAAAAAGCATTATTAAAGAAAAAAAGCATTACTACTATTTGTGTGTGTGTGTGCACGCGCGTGTGCTTCTGCACACCCGCCTGTCAAAGCATGAGAACAATTTTGTGCAGTTGGCTCTTTCCTTCTACCTTAACATGGGTTTGAGGATTGTACGGTGAGCACCTTTGTCTGCTGAGCAAGCTAGCAGCGCCCCCCCGCTTTTGTTCTTATACTCTTTGCACACACTTATTAATGAATACAACTTTTTTTTTAGATTGGGTTTACCTGCCTCTGACTCCTGAATGTTGGGATTAAAGGCGTGCACCACCATGCTCAGCTGTAAATTACAACTTTTTTTTTGGGGGGGTCTTTTTGAAACAGGGTCTCCGTGTAGCCCCAGCTGACCTGGAATTTGCTTATGTAGAACAGGCTGGCCTTGAATGCAAATACAACTTTTAAAATCAAGAAATGCGGAGCTAGAGAAATGGTTCAGTGGTTAAAAGCATTTGCTGTTCTTGTAGAGGACCCAGATTCAGTGCCCAGCACCCACACTGGATGGCTCAGAACTGCCTGTAACTGCAGTTCCAGGGGATCCAACACCACCTGCATGCATGTGGTGTATACACACACACACACACACACACACACACACACACACACACACACACTCAGGCCCACAAATATAAACATAAAATAATAAATCTTCAAAAAAAAAAGAAATTTGAAAGCTGGGTATGATGGTACATGCCTTTAATCTTAGCACTTGGAAGGTCAAGGCAGGTAGATCTCTGTGAAATCCAGGCCAGCCTGGTCTACATAGTAAGCTCATTCCAGGCCAGCTGAGGCTATAGAGAGACCCTGTCTCAAACACAAAGAAAAAAAGAATTACATACATGTATGTGCAAAATAGGCACATACAGGGGCTGGAGAGATACCTTAGTTAAGAGCACTGGCAAAAGATCCAGGTTTCGTTCCCAGCACCCACATGGCAGCTAACAAACACCCTTAACTCCAATTCCAGGAAATCCTATACCTCCCTTCTGGCCTCTGAAAATAATTAATGACATGGGTGCACTTACATACATGCAGGCAAAACACTAATACGCATATTTTTTTAAAGGTCACAAAGAATTTTCACCACAGCACTGATTTTTTTTTAATGTTTTATTATTTTTATTACATGTGTATGAATGTATTGCCTATATGGGTGTAAGTGCACCCGTGTTGTGCAATGCCTGTGGAGGTAAAAAAAGGGTGTTGGGATTCCTCTGGAACTATAGTTATAGACAGTTGTTAGTTGCCATGTGGGTGCTGGGAATTGAACCCAGATCCTTTGCAAGAGCAGCCAGTGCTCTTAACTGCTGAGTCATTTCTATAGCTCCACACAGCACTGATTTTTGTGCTTAGATATAGCATTTACTTCTCATTTAGCATGCTATATGGATACAACTTTTCATTTATTTGAAAGAAACTGAAACCATCAAGAGGAATATTAAAGTATAATACATTTATACTCAGAAATATGTGGAGGTTATTCACAGGTGTAAATAAAATGGTAGATCTGGATATTTTGACACAAACATACTGCAGAATATATATGTTGGGTATATGGCTTTTCAAAGTACTCCACATAAGAATTTGTGTACAAATATCGACACAGATGCGCACTGGAAATGAGATAGGCTACCTGAAGGAACTGGGGAGCAGAAATAACACAAGGGCAAGAAAACTTACTTGGTCCACATCATCTTCATTTTTTTTTACAATGAAAATGTAAGTTGTTTAAAAGATGTTATTGCGTGTTCATGATGTGGTTACTAAAATGCCAAAATGGGGAGGGTTTTTTAAATTAAGAATTTCTTTTTTATACTCTAAGAAAATTTTATACCACAAATCTTGACACTCCCTTTTGGAGACTGTGACATCACTCTGCTCTCTTCCCTGCTTTTGCTTTTTTTTCTCTTTTTGAAGACAGGGTCTCCCTGTAGCCCCAGCTGGCCTGGAACTCATTATGTAGACCAGGCTGGCCTTGAACTCACAGAGATCCGCCTGCCTCTGCCTCCCGAGTGCTGGGACTAAAGGTGTGCGCCACCACACCCGGCTTTCTTCCCTACTTTTATAATGTTGCTATTAACTCAAAATCTGGCAGTTTTTCTTCTAAATTTATATATGAACATGTAGGAATAACATCAGAACTAAGAACTAAGGGCTGAATGAATCTGTTGATGGTTTATATTTTAGTCAATCTCACTGGATATATATATAACAAACTCTAAATAAAATAAATCCCAACTGGCAAAACTCTAAAAAGAACAAAATGTGACATAATGGTCCCTTCTAACTCAAACAGCTACAGAGTTTACATTCTCCACACAGAGCAGTAATAAAGGAGGAACTGTACCCTCTGTAAGGATTACACTAACCTCAGATTCTGAGTCACTGTCCTGTTTCTCTTCTTCATCTTTCCCGAGGAAGAATGTCAAAGCTGCAACTAGTATCTAAAACCAACCACAAAAGATCAACTTAATCTTGCTCACAAATAAATACTCCTGTCTCCATTCCCACTGCATATGCAACCAATGCATCACCTGAAGAAACAAACTCAAACGGTGGTAGGATACTTACTCCTCTTTCATAATTAAAAATGTTTTATAATGTTACTTGTTCTAAAAGTATGTCATTTAACAAAAACTTTAGGACTGGCGGGGGGATAGCTCAGTGGTATAACATAGCTTAGTAGTAAGCCCAATTCCCTGGGTCTCATTTCCAGGATCCCCAAATCACTCACTCACTCACTCACTCACTCACTCACTCACTCACTCACTCACTCCAAAACTAGTAGGCTCATGTTCTGTGAAAGGAACTGAGGTTAACACTCCCCTTGACAAGAATGGAAGGGGCCCTCAAGCTTCACAATATGCAAAGTTAAGTCATTTCTATTTACTTTATGGCTTCTAACCATTGTTTTTAATATCTTATTTATTATTATTTTATGTCTATGTGTACTGCCTACATGTATGTATATGGACCTATGTTGTGCAATACCCCCCTAGGTCAGAAGAAGGCACTGGATCTCTGGGAACTGGAGTTATGGATAGTTGTTAGCCATCATGTGGGTGCTGGAATCGAACCCAGGTCCTCTGTAAGAGCAGCCAGTATTCTTAACCACTGAGCCATCTCTCCAGCCCCCCCTCCCGCCCCCCTGCCTAACCACTGTTAACGTATTCTTGTATCTATCAATAATCACTGTGATTTAAAATAATACCTGTCAGGCTTTATACACCCTTCAGGTAGATGGCCAAGAATTTCTACATGTTCCACAAGAGACATCACTGACTGTCTAATAGGAGGTCAAATATAATCTTTAAATTTCTTTCAAGTGTGCCAGAGCCAAAAGAAGGTCAAGTATCACAGGGGAAAAGAACATAAATTGTTATCATTTGTTACATAATGCTTTAAACATCTTGGAATTTTATTTTTTTAAATTTTATTTATTATTTTTATTTTATGTATATGAGCATATCGCCTACATGTACATAAATGAACCTATGTGGTGCAATACTTGCAGAGGTCAGAAGAGGGTGTTGGATCCCCTGGAATGGGAATTACAGATGGTTGTTAGCTGCGATGTGGGTGCTGGGAATTGAACCAGGGTCCTCTGCAAGAGCAGTCAGTGCTCTTAACCACTGAGCCATCTCTCCTGCCTGGAATTCTATTTTTCTAAAGCATAGATGAACCAGGAAAGCAGTTATATAAAAGGAAAGCACCACTAATGGACCTGCATGTTGCTTCACATTTCTTCCCCACACATTATCTGCCCCACTGCCCATTCCCAACACAGGCCACCCTGAGTAGTACTTTCACAGAGTCTACAGCTCACCTTGGTAACCTTGGAGAAACAGGCAGTGGTAATAACATTGACAGTTTTAGCATCATTCCTGGGAAGAGAAAATGAGTGTTTTGAAGGGTATTTTTCACTCTACTGTATTTCATAGAACAGAAAATAGCACAAAATAAACACTAAGTACTTCTGACATTAGAACTTTCAATTTTAGTATTCTTTTAAAGTATACTGTTAAATTAGTCAACAAAGGAACATTTCATTAAATTCAACCCACTTACCACAGAAAATCTGAAGTCACTAAAATAAAGAATTTGGAGAATTTTTAGTTACATAGGAGTGTCAAGAAAAAAAAAAAAAAAAGAGCACGCCTTTAATCCCAGCACTCGGAAGGCAGATGATCTCTGTGAGTTCAAGGCCAGCCTGATCTAACGTAATGAGTTCCAGGACAGCTGGGGCTACAGAGAGACCCTGTCTCAAAAAACAAAAAGAAAAGTAAAAAATCTAGAAGAAAAAACTGTAACATTGTGAAATCCAGGACTAGGAGACAGCTCTGAAGGTACTGCCTGTCCCTAGCACTCATGTAAAAGCTAGGTGAGGATGCTGGCTGGTCTGCTGGGAGGCAGACACAGGGGATCCCCAAAGCAAGCTGACTAGTCAGATAAGCTGAATTAATAGGCTCAGGGGTCAATGAGACCCTGCCTCAAAATCTAGGGTGAAGAGCAATTGAGGAAGACAAGTGACATCTGTGTCACGGCCCCTGGTTAGAAATTATCTTTGATGGCATTTTCACTTTATTCTTTGAGGAAAGGTGCTTCAATCAAACCAACCCAGCATGTAAGTGGGTTTTGGGGATCCAAACTGGTTCTCACACTTCTACAGCAAGTAATTTAACCACAGGGCCATCTCCACAGTCTCCATATTTCAATAAAAAAAAAAAAAGGCAAGAAACCCTTGGTAAGAAAATACAAAAGATCAAGTCAGGTATACCTGTAATCCCAGCACTCATAAGGCTGTAAGACCTGCCTCAAAAACTAAACTAAACTAATAAATGTATATGAGCTAAGGTAGTACACCATAAAACAAAATATATAAAACATGGCATTTTACATACACAGCATGCACTGACTTGCAGAGGGGTAGGAATATTTTTTCTCAAGGTTGAATGAGAGAAAAAAAAGTGCTTGACTTCAGTAGATAACGAAGAAATGGTAGCCTGTGTTAGTTATCATTTAAAGGGTTGCTGTATTTTTATGTCCAAAATAAATCTATAGTAGAGGTGTATTTAAAGATTGTAAGATCAAAAACACCCCCCCCCCAAAAAAAAAGTTTGTCTACGAGCTCTGTGTTAATTATAAATAAAAAAAAAATGTCAGGGCTGGAGAGATGGCTTGGTGTTACGAGCACTGGCTGCTATTGCAGAGGACCTGGGTTCAGTTCCCAGCACCCACATGGTAGCTAATAACTGTTTCAAACTCCAAGTCTAGGGGATCTAATGCCCTTTTCTGAAGCCTCCGAGGACACTAGAAGTATGCAGGTGGCACACATACATCTATGTAAGCAAAACAATCAGATACATAAAAAAATCTACCTCTCGTGAGAAAATTCACATATCTCTTACCAGATGTTCCTTCTGTAGAGTTCGATCATCACATCCAAAGACATCTTGGCTGCAGTTGCATTACTGTCTCTGAGCATGGTATACATGAAATTCTGCAATACCTAAAAGCAAGGGAGAAAGAAGATGAAGACTTAATATACTGACGGGGCAATGGTGAAGACATGGAAAACAAGGGATACTTACTATATTCACTTTATTGTTCTTGTGTTTGGCGTTTATATTCTTGATATCAGTCACAATATGTGTGTATAGCATCTGAAGAAAATAAACAAAATATAAGCACATTAAACCTAGTTAACATTTCTGACCTTACTAAATCTGGAGAAAAGTACAAATGCACAGGATGACATCACTTGATTTATTTTTCGTTGTCATAAAAGAGATATAAGAAAGCAAACGGGGGGGGGGCGACAACAAAGAAGCAAAAACTCAATGACCAACGAACAGGCAAAGTACAGCTGCCCTCCAAAGGGTAAATGTAGGGCTGTGGCGCTGGCTCAGCGGTTAAGAGCACTTGCTCTTTCTGCAGAGGACCTGGGGTTTGGTTCCCAGCACCCACAAGGTGGCTTACAATCACCAGTAACTCCAGTTCCAGGGGATCCAACACCTTCCTCTGGCATCTTCAGGTGCCAGGCACACAGGTAGTGCACATACATACTGCAGGCAAAACATACCCACATAGAAAAAAAATAATAAACCTTTAAAAAAAAATTAAATGTGGAATTACCAAATGACTCAATGAGTCCAAAGAGAAAAGAAAACTCATTTCTCTGTCTGTTCACACAAACATTCATAGCAGCATTATTCCTAGCAGGCAAAAAGTAGAAATAACCCAGATGCCCATTTATTGATGAAAAGATAAACACATGTGGCATATCCATACACCAGAATATTTGATAATAAAAAGGAATGACAATTACATGCTACAATATACACCAATTTTAAAGACAACTGCTGATTGGAATGGGCATTCTTTTAGGAGTGATAACAAGGTTCTGAAAGTTATGGGTGATGGCTATACAATTCTGAAGCCAATGGCCAGATGCAGGGGTACATGCCAGGAATCCCACTACTCTGCACATAGAGGCAGGGAGACTGTCCAAGGCAGCCTGGCTTACGTATCAAGTTCAAGGTCAGTCTGAATTATAGAGTGAGATCTGTCTAAAAAAATTGGGATGGGATGTAATTCTGCATAAGAGCACTTGCCTAGCAAGTGCAAGGCCCGGGCTCAATCTCCAACACTGTTGGAAACCAAGAAACAAAAAGCACACTGAACTGTACACTACAAATAAACTGTATGTGAGTGATATCTCAATAAAAGTTTTTAAAACAGAAAGCTGTGTCACTTACAATCCTCTAACTAGACACATGACAATTCTGGGACTATAAGCATGACTAGCAGCCAAAACACCTCCCCGCAGACCATTTTAGTATGCAACTTTGACCAGAACTAAAAATGCTCAAATAACAATAGTCTCTTAATATTAAAGGAGAAAAAATGAATATAAACTTAAGTTTTTCTTTCTGAAATTTATTTTGCAAGCCTTCAGCTCTTGGTCTCATAAAAAGTTATGGAAAAACACTGGGCATGGTAGTGCACGCCTTTAATCCCAGCACTCAGGAGGTAGGCATGTCTTTGTGCGATGGAGACCAGCCTGATCTACATAGAGTTCCAGGAGGACTGGGGCTGTGGGTGATCCTGTCAAAAAAATCCAAACCAAAACAAAGCGGAAAAAAAAATTCATAGAAAAAAGGTTAAAGACAACAAAAAGTTAAGCTGGTGGGTTGCTTCCAGCTCCGAGTGTCTATGCCCTCAGCAAAGTCAGTATAGTGCAGTCATGAAGAGCCTGGGTTTTGGAGCCAGACCACCTGGATTACATTTGAGCTCTACCACTGAGAGGCTGTGTGACCTAGAACAAGTCATCCATCTCAGCTTCAACCTCTCTGTCTGTAAAGCAGTAACAATAGTGACAACAATTTCTATCTCAGAAGTTTTTGTGAATAGGCAAAACCACGAAGGCTCTGAGTGGTGCCTGGCTCAAAGAGCATTCAGTAAATATTAGTTATGAATACCATATTGCAGGGACACAATGTTTTTTCCCTATTAAAATGAGTTTAGCTGTAGAAATAACTGTATAAAGTGATGTTAAGTATCAAGAATTCAGTGAACTCTCAACACTATCCTGTTGTGTCACCTCAGGGAAGGAGATGTAGGGGAAAATGTTTTTGCTCTTTACCTTTCGCAGAAGCTTATCATGGCAACGTAGAAGTTCAAAGAAGAGCTCTAGTAAACTTGAAGGGTCAATGAGATTCTTATTTCTCAGCAAGATCAAAGCTTTGCAAAATGTCTTAGAAAAGAAACACATACACAACAGTAAAGTTAAACAAATAAGACAATCTGTATAAATAGCCGAATTCTGCCCCTGCCCTCAGACACCAAAAAGATGTTTAGCGGAGATGCTCTCATTCAGACACATCATTATTACACACACACGCACACACACAAAAATAGTTTAGTTATCCAAACACTGCTCCTACCATTCGAAGATCTGGATCTAAGACAGTATGATTGTAAGAGAGAAGATCTTTCAGCTCCTGGGGGAAGCTGCTTAGATGCTCGGCGTAGCAGTGGCCGATCTGTAACAAAGCAAAGGCTCTTCTGAAGTTGCTTTCTTTCTCTCCTAAAATTCAGATGCACAGATTCAGATGCTCTGTATAGCCTGCACCATAGAAGCAGATGCTCCTGAATTACTGGGGTTTCCTGTATGCTAATTTCTTCTATCATTCTTGTTGTTCCCATAGTTTTTGTTCCCACACAGTTGAGCACCTGTCTGCATGATGAATTTGGAAAACAAATTTTTTTGATGATTTTGCTTTGGTTGGTTCTGTGTTAAGATTTAGCAAAATCTAACTTATCTGAGGAAGAAAATAAAATCTGCAAAAGGAAAAGCTTTAGAAAAACTTAAGTTCCCACAGAGGCTGGGAATTATTGAAAAAAACTACTCTTCAAATTCTGTGAAGCACTGAACTTTGTTCTATTGAGAAATTATCTTCTTACCTGTGCCATAAACATCACCAGCTCTGCCAGTTCTTTGCTGGGTTTGTTTGGTTGTAACTTGAAAATCTCCAGATTGGATTTATAGTGATTATGCTGCTGGAGAAACTGTGGGGAGAAATGGAATTCATCACACTCTTGTACACTACTTTTTCAGTTAGAATAAAAAGAAAGCACAAGTCTGACAGAGGCACAGAGAAAAAGATCTAATTAAGTATATACGAAGCCCCCGCCACCCCCTCCCCCTTTGTGGTTCTAGGGACTGAAACCAAGGCCTGGGGCACAATAGGCCTCTGCTACTGAGTCACAGCCTCACTCCTAAAACACTTCTTTTTCCTTATCTGCATTTTCCCAAATGACTCTGGAAAAATCTAAGCATAGCATGGATTATCTAAAGACCTTCTCTTTAAAATTAACAGAAGTTTAAGCAATGTGATATAACAATGTGATACATATATATACATATATATACACATATATATGTATATATAATGTGAAAATCTCAGACTGTGGCCCTGTTCTGCTGTTTATTATAGACTGTGGCCCTGTTCTGCCATCTATTAGTAAATGACCTCTACAACACGTGTGTCTGAAGAGTACTCGATTCAGCAGAAAAATAGCAGACAGGTAAATGCAAAGTGTGTCTCAGGTACAGGACACTCTCTAGTCAAACTCTTCTTTTCTCTTGAAGATCCACCAAACCCACTGGGTATGGTGGTGCATGCCTTTAATCCCAGCACTTGGAAGGCAGAGGCAGGAGGGTCTCTGGGGTTTTGAGGCTAGCCTGGTCTACATAGTGAGTTCTAGGCCAGCTGGGGCTACAGGGAAACCCTGTATCAAAAAAGACCAAAAAAAAAAAAAATCTACTAAACCTTTATGTTTGAGTTCTAGGTAAGCTATATACTGAGAGCTTGACGCCAGTCAGCCTGGTCTACATAGTAAGTAGACTACATACCGAGATCCTGTCACAATCAAAGCAAAACAAAAACAAAAAACAAAAAGAGAATCAAAAACAGGCCTAGAGAGATGGCTCAGCAGTCAAGAGAGCTTACTGTGTAAGCATCGGGATCTGAGTTCAAATCCCAGCACCCATGTAAAAAGTCAGGTGTCGGGGAGACAAGAGGGTAAACCGGGGCTTGCAGAATGCTAGACCAGCTCCAGGAACAGTGGAAGATTCTGTTTCAAAGGAATAAGGTGGAAAGTGATAGACCAGGACACCTGGAGCCCTCCTTCCTCCCAACTTCCACATGAGTCCATGTGTGTGTCTATACCCCTCTCCCCCAAAAAACAACCAAGAGCAATAGACACAAATATAAAAGCATAGCTACACTTACTAAGAATTTTTCCGAGCTCATTATGTACATGACCTCATTTCACTGTATTTAATACTGACAACAACCCAATAGTTTAATGCTGATGAATCAAGCCTGTTTCATGCCCTATAGTTACTGTCTTTCCACAGTACATAATATTGTTTTTGTGGTGCTGGGGCTCAAACTCAAGATCCTCATGTGTGTTAGACAAGTGCTTAGAAAACAAACACACACACACACACACACACACACACACACACAGAGAAAATGAGGATGAGTATTTGTCAACCTTAACTAGCCCAGTAGGTCTCAAATTTGCATATTCACTTATCTAACAGCTGTTTAAATATCCACCATGTGTTAAATTTAGCATGATCAAAAAACATAATGCTAGGCCAGGCAGGGTGGTGTTCATCTTTAATCCCTGCACTTGGGAGACAGAGGCAGGCAGATCTCTGTGAGATCAAGGCCAGCCTGATGTACATAGCAAGTTCCAGGCCTGGTTGGGCTACAGGGAGACCATTTCAAAAAACAAAAACTCCTCCCAAAACAAAACAAGTTTTGTTACTTCCCCCAACAAAACTCCTGGGCCTTGGGCTGGAGAGATGGCTCAGTGGTTAAAAGCACTGGCTACTCTTACAAGGGACCACGGTTCCATTCCCAGCATGTATATGGCAGTTGACAACCACCCTCAACTCCAGCTCCAGGGGATATGATTTCCTCTTCTGGCCTCTGTGAGAACTGCATGACATGGGTATACTATGCAGGCAAAAACTCATACACATGAAATAAAACTCCTAGGCCTGCAGCTTTTTGCAAGCACAGGAGTTAAAAGGCAAACAATGTGCTTCTGATATCTCTCTCAACTCCATACCTCCACTGAACAGGAGTCAGCGAAGGCCCCTAAATTCATATTCCTAACAAATCCTTATATCAATTCCTTCACTGGCCCACCCCTGGCACAGCTGCCTTCAGATGAGCAGGACTGATGCCATTCTGCCTTTGATGTACATTAGTCACCACAAACATCCAAGGCCCCAAGGCCCTCCCTCATCCCTCACTCTAACTTTCATACCATGGTATCCCAAAACTCTTGGGGTGGGGCCAGGACACTGAAGTCTTTTTAAGTAGCCCAGTCATTCTGATGCTCCACTGTGACCACAGCTCTCCCCTCAAACACGGGTACATCATTTTCTTGTACCATGGTTGAGTCAAATGTGTCCTTTCTTAATGCCACACCTAGAGCATCAGGATCCTTCCAGATCCATTCACTTTTTTCTTATGTTTAACTGTCGCCCCTAGCTTGAATCTTCTGTTTTGAATGCTGCCTATTAGCACTCCATGGAGTGCTCTTTTAGATCTTAAGAGATTTTCTTCAGACTACACTTTTCTCTCTAGCTTCTACTCCAGACCCCCCCACCCCAGGCGCTTTTTTTGGCAGGAAAACTTTAAGGACTGTTCAGACTTGGTGCCCAGTTGGTTAAAACTGTTCAATGGCTCCAAGAAGTACTGAGTGTAAAATATAAACTGCTTATGCTGGTCTAAAAGGCCTTGAATCTGTTGACCACTGTCTGAATTTCCCATACCACATTTACGTGACAGATGTCTCTGCTTCCCTTCTTTCTACAAAGAAGCCTGCGCTTCCTATTCCTTCTGTCTAGAATGCTTTTGTCCTGTTTGGTTCAGTATCATCACTGCAGAAGAGGCTTCTTATTCATGGGGTCCAAATCCACTGCTTTCTGCTCTAACATAGTCTCATCCAGGTTTACTCTTTCCACAGTCCTTACCACTACACACCTGCTAACCTTCTTAGAAGATAAGTTCAGGAGCTGGAGAGATGGCTCAGAGGTTAAGAGCACTGATCGCTCTTGCAGAGGACCCAGGTTTGATTCCCAGTACCCACATGGCAGCTACAAACTGTCCTTAACTCCAGTTCCAGGGGAATCCAAAGATCTCTTCTGACCTCTGTGGCATTGCATGACATGGGTGCATTCACATACATGCAGGCAATACACACATACACATAAAGCAAAAATAATAAAATATTAAAAAAACAGCATATACATTATAAATAAATTAAAAAAAAAAAAGAAAAAAAGAAGATAAGTTCAAAAGAAAGCGTGCTCAACTGTCTTATATACCACCATATCCTCTGTGGCTAAACATACATTGACATAAAAATACAGTGCATTGTGTGGATCTGCATATATACTTAAGTGAAAGAAATAGGTACACGTTACCTTGCCTGACTGTTAAAATACAAAGGTTCAGCTATCAACCTTCCTTGGTTATACAACTGGTCAACAAGAGAACTAGAACTTTGGGTTAGTTTTGAAACCAGTGGTCTTAAATACAGAACTATATGGGCTTTCTTTAGGCAAAGGCAAAGACTTTCTGAAAAGGACTCCAAGAGTATAGCAAACAATCCCAAGAATTGACAGACTGGGGGCTGGAAAGATGGCTCAGCCATTAAGAGCACTAGCTGCTCTTCCAGAGGACCTGGTTTCAGTTCCCAGCACCCACAGAACAGCTAACAACTGACCTTGGCTCCAGTTTCAAGTTATCTGACATTCCTCTTCTGGCTTCCGAGGGCATTGTTGCACTTACACACATGCAGGTAAAACACTTACACATAACATAAAAATGCAAATTAAAAATCACTCTGAGAATCTGTCACCCTCCTCAGAATGGCTATCATCAATAAAGCACATGAAAACAAATGCTAAGGAGAATGTGGGAAGAGAGGAATCTTACTAAACACTGTTGATTAGAACGTTAAATGGGTATAGCCATTATGGAAATGAATGTGGAGGTGTCTCAAAAAACTAAAAACAGGACTACCATATGACCCAGTTGTAATACTTCCGGACATAAAATGAAAAGACTCCAACCAAATACCAAGGCAACCAAGCTGGAGAGATGGCACAGCTGTTAAAAGCTAAGACTAAGAACCTTAATGTCAAATACCAAAGATGTACTCACACCCTTGTGTTTATTGGTGCACTAGGCACAATAGCTAAGAAACAGAACCAGATGCTCATCAACAGAAGAATGATGAACTATGTGGTACATAAACAGAATGGAATTTTTTCAGCCATAATCGACAATGAAATCATGACATTTTCCAAAAACTGGATGGAACTGGAAATCATTGTTGAAAGTAAGTCAGACTCAGAGAGACAGCCCGTGTTTCCTCTCATATGTGCAGATTTAAATTTGTGTGTGTGATCCAAGTGAAAAAAGGGACCATGGGCACGGAGATCCTAAAAGAGCTTAGGGGGATTGAAATATATGTGCTATGAATGGGGGGAGGCAAACTGGGGAGGAGGGGATCAGTAGGAGGACAGAGAGGACACTGGAAGGCAGATAAGAACAGAATGACATATGTGTGAAAGTGCTATAATAAAACCACTGCTTTGCATGCTAACTTAGAATGAAATGAACTAACAGAAAGGAACTCTGTACAGGCTCTCAACTCACTACTCTGTGAGTGGCTGGACAGGGCTTTCTGCAAGCCTTGCCCCTGGTATCTTACACTGCCTTGATCCTTGGAAAGGCACTCTCTCTACCGGTGACCTCAAGAATAAGAAATCATTCACATAAATACATACATGTGAAAATACATTTGTGGAAGAAGGGCAATCAAAGATGAGCTGTTAGCCACTGGACAAATAAAATAACTGCAGCTGATGTCCAACAAAATACCTGTTTAATGCTTCTGAGACAAATGGGTGTGTGAAGCATCTGTCAGTTTAACAGTACAAAGTCACAGCTTCCATTTCACTACTTCTTAATTCACACACCTGTAAAGCTCACAATGTATGGTCCGTCTACAAATCCCATCATAACGGACTAACATAACTTTCATCCTCATCTCTTCCTAAAGCAGATTCTAACATCCAGCTCATGCTAGCCCCTAGCGACTTTAAATACTGGCTTAACTAGATATTCTAAACTCCTGAATCTTAGCATCTGACATCTTCCGGCTTCTTCCCGGCACAGCTTAGGACACAGAACACGGCGGATGCTCAGGAGCCACCATAGGTTGAAAGCATTTTAACAAGGGACTCAAGCGTTAAGGACTAATGCAGGCCAAGACTTTCGGAAGGAGTCCGGCGGCTGGACGCAGGCCCTTCGCCCCTCTCCAGCTCCGAGGGATGGGTGCATCAACAGGTTTTAAACAGGTCTCCGTGGTGGCGGGGTCTACAGGACAGCTCATTTCCAAGCGGTGGGAACCAACCCTGGGACTTGTTCCCGTCCCACAGCCTCTCTCCTCCCGCCAGGAGACCCAGAAGGACGCACGCCTGCCCCGCACGCCGGCGCTCCGCGCGCGCCGTCCCGCCCACCTCCTCCACGTAGGCCGGCGGGTCCCGCTTGATGAGGTTCTGTAACTGCGGCAGGTTGCTGGGCAGCTTGTTGTTGTTCCTGCTGGACATGGTGGCTGCAGGCTGGCTCCCCGGGGAGTTCTTGGAAAGCCTGGGCCACCGTCAGTCACCGGCCACAACTTGGACTCGTGTTTCCGTGTGTAACCGGAAGCAACACGTGGGACAAGCGGCAGGCGGTACCGAGCTATGGAGTCTCAGAGGATCAAACTTACGCGTCCTGCTGGAATGCTTTGTGAAGTTTGTGTGCTATCGTCCCCTGCCGTTGGGAAGCCGCTACTATACCACCAAATGTTTCTGAAACAACCTGGAAGTTTAAAGGTGTGGGGGTTTTTTTTGTTGTTTCTTTGTTTGTTTTTTTCCCCGCGAAACGGTATCTCTATGCAGCCCTGAGTGTCCTGGAACTCACTATGTAGACCAGGCTGGCCAGGAACTCTCAAGAGACCTGCCTGCCTCTGCTTTCCAAGTGATGGGATTAAAGGTGTACACCACAACACCTGGCCCTATAAACATGTTTTATTATCCCAGCATTCTTATGACACAGATGAATGAGGATTAAAGAAGCCAGGTGTGAGTGTGGCGGTACATGACTGTAATCCCCGCACTCAACTGTAATCCCTGCACTTGGAAGTCTGAGGCAGGAGGATCGTGTGTTCGGAGATAGCCTGGGCTAAGGTGTGACCTTGTCTCAAGAAAAAAAGAAAACATAGGGTCTGGGAATTGTTTCATTTGGTGTCGTAAAAATACAATATTCAGGCTCTGAACTGGATATGGTAGCCCACACCTTTAGCCCCAACACTCTGGAGGCAGAGGCAGGCAGAGCTCTGTGAGTTCAAGGCCAGCCTGGTCTACATACTGATTTCCAGGCCAGCTGGAGCTATAGGGAGACCTGATCTCAAAAAGACCAAAACAAACAAACCAACAAAAATATTAACGCTCTGCCATGAATAATCTGGTGCTGATTGTATTTTCTGAATACGTGTCAGGATAGGATGAAAAAGCCTTGTGTCCTTCTAAAGCCAGCACCTCTGTAGCCACATGAAATCACAGCCTTTGTTTTTGGAAATTTCTATTTTTACATTTGCTTATTTTTAGTGTGTGGTGGTGGGTCACATGCATATGTGTGTGTAGGGAAGCATGCTATGACATATATGTGGAAGTTAAAGAACAACTTTCAGAATTGATTCTCTTCTTACGCCATGTGGGTTCTGGGCATCAAATTCAGGTTGTCAAGCTTGGCAAGTGGCAGCTGAGCTATCTTACTGGCCTAAAATTTCTTTTTTTAATTGTATGTACACGTGGGGTACAGTGAGTAATGATACTATTGTGATTAGATCATACTGTGATCTTATGGCATAGTGCATATTTATAGTATGTAGGGGTTTAAAATAATTGGTATGTCCATCACTCCAATCAAGACTTTTAACACTTTTTAAATCATTGTTTATTTTTTAAAAAATTTTCAATAACTACATGATTAGAAGAAGCATTTCATTACAACTTTAACATATTCAGTAACACACTCCAGAGTAAGAGTACATCTTTTTCACAAGTGGCTGTAAGTTTCTAGGTTCACAGTTGAATTAATACAGTTATACAGTATTGAACTCAGTATAAGCCCTGTAAGACATAAAATTGAATGAGTTTTTAACCTTTAAGAAAGATCTCCATTTCATTTTATGGTCTAGAATATTTTAGGGTCTTAGAATATATTGTTCCTTGCAGAAACACATTGTTCTTGCTAACGCTAAGATGTTGGCACATGCATCTCTAATCTGTATGTATCTGATTATTACTAGTCATAATCGGTTGCACTTGGATCCTTGGCGCCTGTGTATGTCTATAAAGTCATTGGGTAGATTTCAATGGTAATGTTTATCTCCTCGACTAATTAGCATGATGTAAATTTCCATGCTTCCTCCTCAAATATAATACATTTAAAAAAATTTGTTGATTTTTTTTGTGTGTATGTATATCACACCACACACACACACACACACACACACACACACACACACACACTTGGTGCTCTCGGCTTATATAGCCTTTGCCCCTCCCCCACATTAGAGCCCTTATACTCTGATATACCTGCTACTGTCTGATGTGTTTTCGGCACCCCCAGCCATTCCCCACTACTTGTCCATCTGGTGAATCTAGTCAGCCTATCTAGAGGTCTTTGTTTTAGGAAGGTCAGCTGTTCCTCATCTAGCAGCAATTGTTGGGTCTTAGGTTCGGGAATGATTGGAGACCACCCACCAAATTTCTAAATTTAGAAGATTTTGTTGAAAAGCATTCCAATTCTTGAATGACCAGTTGGGCACAGACTCCAGGAGCCAATGAATGGAGTCTGGCCTCGACCAACAATGGGGGGGAGGGGTTATTGGGAACTCTTGAAAATGTCCACGCCAACTGGGCAGCCTTGAATTGATTGGATAACTCTGAATACTTTGTACGGGGGCCGGGGGGGGATTTCATTGGTTATAGTCATAGTCAGCCACCTGGAATGTCTCAATTTTTCCTTTTACGGTAGGGTGCCCCTATCGGCCTCTGGATGCTCTTTTATGGTCAGGAATTTCGGTTAGTTTCTGTTAGACTCAGATAAACAAGGCATGTCTGGGCTTGTCTAATCTTAGCCCGCAGTGTGGGGCAAAGGAAACTTACAGTTTCTAGGAACAGAGACTTAAGACTGACAAGATGGAGGTTGCTAGGAAATGGAGCCAGTGTGACCTGGGTCCTTCCGTTAGTTTAGCTGAGACAGTTCATTCCCCACTCCTTTTGGAGAATAATCAAGTATTTGATACTGACCTAGTTTGGAGGGAGTCGTATTGACTCCGTATCATCATGAGTTTATTATCCAGGATTTTAAAGTAAAGTTAATAGAACCATCACTACTGGTTCTGTTAGTGAGGCTAACCAGGGACCCAAAGTTTTCTAGTAGATGCCTTGTATCTTTTTTTAGCTCTGTAGGTGTGGTTTACATAAAACCAGTACGAATACCTCTTAGTGGTTTTGGCATCGTCGTTAGTCTTAGAGATAAGCTCGCTAGCATAACCCAAAGAATTTTCCAGCTTTCAGTTGAGAAAGAAACTGGTCATTTTTCTTTCGGAATTTTTAAATTTTGAACTAATTTTTACCTTTTATTTTATTACTTCGAAGAGGTAACCCTAAAATCTTTTGGGGATAAGAGCTCCCAAATACTTTTAATGTTTTTGGCCTTTGGGACAGAGTACTTTGCTAAAAAGCCCAAGGACATTTTGACTTTTTAGCCAAGCAAGAAACTGGCTACTTTTGTTTGAGGTCTTTTTACCCTAGCTGCCTAACCAATTTCTATCTCCTATTCTTATATCACCCTCTGAAGAGACTTACTCAAATCGCCAATAGGGAATTGGGACGCAGACTACTCTGGCTTCTTCCATGCTGAACAGGGATGCAGGGTGAGGCAACTGGGGTACCCCTTTAGTGGGTCTATCTAAAAGACTCCCAAATTGCATAACTCTTGACTATAGGGAGAAAAAGAAGGTCCTTGACCAATGCCTGGGAGATATGACAAAGAAGTAAAGGCAAGAATAGTTAGCATTACAAGTGTTAGACAGGAAACCAGAAAAAAGTAACAACAGGGAAAATTTCAAATGTCCATTGGAATTTCTTGACAAGAGCTTCCAAAACCATCCCTCTATTAGGTTCCTCCTCATTTTTCTTTTATCTGCCAAGGCTGGACTCAAGAGTGATGGACTCAGGATTTGCTTTCAGGCATCTTGATAGCTATTGGAGTGGCCAGGATCAGTCTTCTAGACAGGGAGAGAAAATAAAATTAGCCATCATTTTAGAACTATAGTAGCTGCAGGTGGGCACTACAGTATTGGAGACCAAGAATTGAAGTCTTACACCTGAGCAGCATTTTCTTGTAAGAATAAAATCACTACTGAGAAATAATTGTACCTGGACTTAAGTCTAATGTCTGGGAAATGAAAACCTTTGGACTCTTAAAGAAATATACTGATTACTTTAATTTTTGGTTATACTTTCCTTTTGGGTGTTTAAGACCATACAGCTGAGGATCTGTTCCTCAGGGGTCACACGGGCTTGGGAGGGGGGAGCCCCTGGCTCCTCGGGCTTTTCTTTTACCAGTTCCATCTTCGTGAAGATAAGTCAAGAAGAGGTCCTGCTTGATCTGGGCTTCACTTGGAAGCATGGAGGAAACGTTTCCTCTACGTTGACCCTCCTCTTTACAGACTGGACAATGGTTCAAGTCCATCTTTTGGGGTCTCCATGGCCTCCTTGAACAAGAGGACAGGTAACTCACCATAGTTACAGGACATATCAAGAGATTCCCAAAGTCCCCTGGGACACTGTCAACCTTCCAGGGCAAGGAACAAAACTGTCCCTTAAGCCCCTTTGTCCAGATTAGTATGGGCCTTTAAGTATGGTTATTAACCATCCAAGAAGGTTATTTGCACCAGCCTGGTACCTTTAATTACTGTGTAATATATAGATAAAGCTTGAACAAAATCCAAACATTCTCAATAAACATTGACTGGAAGAGAATTATCATCACAGGTTAACTAGGCAACCCAATACTCGTTTGTACCCATTTAATCTAAATCTCCAACCCAGTACAAGCCAGGAGTGGACTGAAAATTAACAACTCTGTATCTCCATAAACCTGTTCAGACCTTTTAATAAGTTTGTTTAAAATGAGTTTCATTATCCCTTCTATTCTGGAAATATCCTGTCATTTTAATCTTTATATATAAATCTTTACTACTATAGTCCTTTCAAATTCAGGAGACCATTCACAATTAGGGCAGAATTACATACAGCTGGCTGGGAAGAATGGCTGGGTACCCAGGTGAGGGTCCAATGACCCTGCTTATCTCCTCTTTAATGAAGAATAGAACTGTCAGCAAGCCCAGTTGTGATGACTGTTTGTAAGCAGGCACAGCTGAAATCATTAAGATGGTAGTTCTTTGACTCAGAGAGTGCTGTACATGGATTAAGATAACATAATGAGTTAACATTATCCATGCATGCACTGTGCTTTAAGTTCCCAGGTAGACTTTATAGAAAACATAAAACTATTTAAATATTTTACTTTGTTTGACAAGTTAGTTTGATATCTAGTAAATTATTTAATAATTGTTCCATTAGTATTAAACGTAAGTCTACACATTCATAAGTCTCATT